GATGGACAGTGCTGGGCAACCCAGACGACAGTCAACATGGCTACAAGAACTGGCAAGAAGGAGGCCCTCAAATAAGAAAACAATGTTTTGAAAAAGTTTTAATAATTGATTTATACATGTAAAAATTGATACACATATAAGTGTATGTGTGTGCATGTGTGTATATAAAAAGCACTGAGGTTGATATATATGATAGAGAAACCCAGAACTTGGTGGGATCTTACTACACTCTGTTTAGAGTCTAAACTCTAAAATTGTTCACAATTTTAATTATACTTGGAGAGTGACCATAATAATCTCTTCAGGGCTCACAGATGCTGAAGTCCTTAAATCATTGATGTGGGAATCCCTCATCAAACCCAGAGTGCCAGGGTCATGCCTGCCACCCCTTCTGGTGTATTCCCCCCTTCTTGTTTTCCATGTTGGTGAAGATACATAAGTGTCTCAGCACAAGCCCAGCCTCAAGGCAATCAGGGCAGAGTGAGGCTCTGCACACTGTCCACATTCAAGAAAGGGTGATGGCAGACTCAGAAGCCTTGGGAAAGGGATACTTATCTATTGGGGTGGAGGGTCCAAATCATACATGGTTTGTCTTTTGTTGACATCAGAGTAAATTATCAGCGCCTTTTATGGGCATTTAAAAAGCCAAAGGCAGAAATTCCACCTCTCGGTGTATACCTCCAAAGAATAGAAAGCAGAGTCTCAAAGAGATATTTGCGCATCCATGTTCATGGCAACATTATTCACAATAGCCAAGAGGTGGAAACTACCCAAGTGTCCACAGATGGGTGAATGGATAAGTAAAATGTAGTATACACATATAATGGAATATTATTCAGCCTACAGCATAGATGAGCCTTGAGGTCATTATGCTGAGTGAAATAAGCCAATAACAAAGAGACAAATACTGTATGATTCCTCTTATATGAGGTACATAGAATAGTCAAAATCATGGAGACAGAAAGTAGAATAATGGTTGCCAGGGACTGGGGGAGGGGAGAATGGGGTGTGATTGTTTAATGGGTAGAGAATTTCAGTTTTGCAAGATGAAAATAATTTTGTAGATTGGTTGCATACAATGTAAATTTACTTAACACTGAACTGTATACATAAAAATAGTTAAGATGGTAAATTTTATGCTGCATATATTTTACCACAATTAAAACAATAACAAACTCTAATGCCTAGGCTGTACCACAGACCAATTAAATTGGAATCTCTGTGGGTAAACCTCAGGTACACGTATTTAAAAAATTTCCCCAGAAAATTTTTAACCAAGGTGGAGAACCACTGGACTCAAGATAGGTAATCTCATCCTGAGGGCACTGCTATAATCCAGGGGTGCAATGGAAAAGAATGGGGTCACAGAGAATAAGACAAATTGTGTGGTGTGAAGGGAGAAATGTCAGTATTCAGTGACAGATTACGTATGGAAAGAAGATAGAATGTATCAAAGATGGTCCCAAGGTCTTAGACTAAATTGTGGATTTGTGAAAAACCTGAATATTTATAGGGAGACATTTGGAAAGCTTTTGGGGGATGACGATTTATTTGATGATTTGCTAGTGTACCTGGATAAAAATTTCTTAGAGGTAGCTGGAAATTTTCATACTCTAAAAAATTAATTCATTTCTTCCATAGAAGCCAGAGTTCCATTTTTACATTAAAAATGAATTTTTATTAAAAAAAAAGACCAAAGGCAGAAAAATTACCCAATAGATATTCTATCTTCAGGAGCCAACAATATACCTTACTTAACAATATACTATTATTTCAGAGTTCTTTCTGGCGCAAGTGTGAAGTTGTAGATTTATCTGAGGCAGTCTTTCCCTTGCTGTTCTGCTCTCTGCTTCCAAATCTTCTACATGGCTTCTCTTTTTCAGGACCCTGTTTAAGTGTGGGTGCCTTGTTCTTCCTGCCTTTTTAGAAAGCTTATAGTAATCAAATTCACATTAAGGCAAAAGAAACTTCCCACAGTAGTTTTTCTAAGAGCATTTACATTTTTAAAACAAACTGAACAAAGAGAACAATATTTAGCAAAAAAGAATAAAACTTGAATGATAGTATTTCAGGAAAGAGAAATTTTGGATGAGAAATTCTGAGATCCTCAGGTGTCTGGAAAGCACCTTCATAAACAGTCCTGGTTAGATGTCCAGACTGAGGTGAGTGAGAGGAGGAGTCAGTGAATCGCCTGTACTCAGAGAGGTGGATAGGCACTGGGAGGAGGTTATGTGATTGAGTCAAATAGATCACTGTATGGTGACTGACATAACATAAAAAAAAAAAAAAAGATCATGGGGGAAAAACCAGTGGGACATTCACTGTATCATCCTTCTATATCACGGAATCATGTTTTCTAAGCAGAACAGTCTCTGCTTTACCCCCCATGGTATTCAGTAGGTTGAGGATACAAGGGAGATTTCAGAAACTTTCCCCCAAAATGGACTTCGAGATGCCTTCATCACAGAACCAGCAGTTGGATGCTATGATTTTAAGCCATTGACAGGTTTGTTTTGGACTCGTTAAGGTGGAAAGCCTAGGGTAGTCCTGGAAACAGGGAGAAGAAGAAGAAAAAAAGAGATGAAACTGCTGCAAAAACAGAGAATTGTTGAGCTTTCTCCCATGTTTCTAGCTCAGTGCCTGGCATGTATAGGTAGTGAAGAAGTACCTGTTGAATGTATAAAGGCATAGTAGAAATAGTTTCTTTGTGGTTAATTTTATGGTTGTAGTTTTGTTGTGCTATGTGTGGGTGGCATGTTGGAGGAAAACCCAGAAGGCCTAGATTCCAGTTTGGTTTTGTCAGTCATTCGTTCTGTGATATTGGCCGACACCTTAACTTCTCTGAGCTCATTTCCCACGTGTTAAATGGAGACAGTGAAGCTGTCTTTTTCACTTCCATGGCTGTTGTTTGCATTAAATGAGATGACTGTAAGGGGCTCTACAAATATAAGGGTACAATCATTTTGAAAGCACTTGGCTTTGTAGAGGGTTATGTGAATTAATGTGTATTGATCGAAACATGGGTCTCATTAGGTTAAAAACTGAAAGTAAAACTCATGTACTTTAGGATGTGAAAATAAACTCAGCAACTTGTGTAACACTAATTTCAAGAAGTAGTATATTAATTTCAAGTAGGAAATCTGTAAAAACAAAACAAAACAAAACTGAGATGTGAAAAAAAATGTTCAATCCTGTTGCCTCTGACTTGCTCCAGTCCCAACATTTTTATAATTCTGCCTAAGAAATTTACATTAGGGTTGAAATACATCAGTATCCATGAGCAAATATTGAGTTCCTGCCATGTGCCAGGCACTATTAGGTACCAGGTATCAGGGTTATGTTTCTATTGCTGTTCTTAGAGTAACCACTAATTTCTTTGGCAAGTGGCTGCTAGTCTTTTCAGAGCTGTGTGTGTGTGTGCGTGTGTGTGTGTTTCATATCACAACACATTCCTTAGCTTGACACAGTACTTTATACACTTATTTATGTGATAAATACCTTTTTGATGTGTTAACAACTTAATGGTATAGGGCCACCAGGAACTGTGTACCTATTTTCCTACATCTAATCCTAGTCTTAAGTGAATTCTTGAGTAGTAATTAACTTAAGTTTAATAATAGCTGGATGAATAAAATATTAGTTACTGTATTCTCTTCAAAATAAACCTTGTTATAGCACAGAAAGGTGAGCTGATCTCTTATTTGACTTTGGCTAAAATGAATTATGCTTAAACATTTTGTAGTGGTTTATAAAGTTTAGCCTTTCTATGGAATATTGAAGGATTTGTTTAAATGTTTACTATAAATTTGGTGAAGTGACAAAGCATCTTGCTCTTTTTGAATGCTTTCATTTTTTCCCCAAAATACCGCTTATGCTTTATCTACCATAATGAGAGTTAGAAAGGGCAAATGAGTACCTCTTTTTTAGTGATAAAACTGAAATACATTGCAAGAAAGAGTGAGTAAATATACTGTTGATGATACTCATGTTACATATGTATCTGTTGCTTATGTGCTTAAAAAACTAAATAGGAAAATCTTACTCATCTCGGTAGAAAAACAGTGTAGAGATTACAACTTGGGGACGTTGTGATATTTTCTCTGTGTGCAGTTTGTCAAAAGGCAATTTATCTAAAGCTGGAAAAGGATATGGTTTGGCTGACTAAATTGTGGAGTGATACAAGTGATACGTAACGATAAAAATGCTTAGGGGAATTTTCGGGGCACTCAAGTCAAGTGTATAAGACTATGTGGGTGTGAAGAGCAGACTTCTCCCTGTCTCTCTTTTTGCACATTTTCAAAACTGTGAAAGTTGCTGACTTTTTATACCACAGGCTGGACCGTTAAATCGCAATTTACGTGGTCACTTGTAAATATGCCTGGTTGTGGAAGGAAAGCTTGTTTGTGCACATGCTTCTTCCTCATGTGCCCCTCTTCTTGTTAAATCATGCTGGATACTTCGATTTTGGAATCCAGGGCTCTCTGACCTGGGAGTGATTTGGGTGAGAACTCTGGAACTGACTTACTCTTTAGGTGCTCCCTGAAGGGAAGTTTGAAGGATCATTCAGAAAAGTGAGTCTCCCGATCTTCAAACAGAAATTCTCTTTCTGACCAGCTTGCTACAATGCTTGAAATTCTGACATGAAGGGATATCTTCCTACCTAACCCTGAGGTTTGGAAGTCCTGAGGATATGTTAGTAGGGCAAGTTGTTTAAAATAATTTTTCAGTCTCTTTTGTAAAATGGGGCTACTGATACTGATAAATGATCAGTCATCAGTAAAATGATAAGTATTAATGAAATGATGCTTACTGATACTTAAAATGGGGCGATTGATACCAAAGGGGGTTTTGTGGAAATCAAGTGAGGCAAAGCAAGTCAAATGCTTGATAGAATGCTCAACAATGATAGTTGTAGTTGTTACTATTTTTCTTTTGCTAGGGAGAAGAGGAGGAGGAAGAGGCTATTAACTTAATGTGGGTTTTTTTTTTTCCTTTCCCAGCTACACCCTGGCTGATTACAGAGGTGGTGCTGAAGGAAGCCTTTGGTGTTCATTGCCTAAGAGGGCTACTTGGAGGGGTTCCCACAAGAGAAACCTTTTGTGAGGTGCTTTAACTTTTCAAAGCATGAAGTCATCTGTTGATTTGTTTTCACAATATATGGGTGAAGTTGGCAGGGTGGGTATCCTTTTTTCTTTCTTTCTTTCTTTCTTTTTTTTTTAAAGATTTTATTTATTTATTTGACAGAGAGAGTCACAGCAAGAGAGGGGACACAAGCAGGGGGGAGTGGGAGAGGGAGAAGCAGGCTTCCCGCGGAGTAGGGAGCCTGATGTGGGGCTCGATCCCAGGACTCCGGATCATGACCTGAGCTGAGGGCAGACGCTTAACGACAGAGCCACCCAGGCGCCCCTGGGTATCCTTTTTTCTATAGGTGAAGAAACCAGAGTGCAGACAGGTAAGAGAACTCACTTTCTGTCACACAAGTTAGTGGTAGAACTGGGATTAGGACCCGTGTCTCAGCCTCTGGGCTCATCACCCTTTCTATTATGTGACATTCCTGGAATCAAATGATCTCCTTCCTAGGTTTGTGTTGGGACCTGGATCCCTACTCATGAGCCTGTTACTGGCATTCTGTAAAACAGCAGGGATGAGAAATACTGTAAACTAGTTTTGGCTGGAGATGGCTGGAGTTACAGCACCTGAGTCAGGTGAGTTTTCATTTCCTGGCCATGGATGGAGGTTTCTTCCTGAACCCAAGCCAAGTGGAGTCACTCACTGGGGTGGTCCAACTCCAGCCTGGAGTCCTCTCTAACACCATCTCTGCCCTGCACTTCAGGGTCCAGTGGCTACACTGAAAGGAATGAAAAGGAGATGCCAGTAATATTGAGAAATGTCAGGAAAGCCTGATCCTGACGCCTTTCTATCACCTTCCCTCTTCCTTCCCTCTTTTTTTTCATATTAATGATACAAAATAATTCCAGAAATTCAGAGAGGGGTTCTATAGATGTTAAGCTTTTGTGTTATGATTTTAACTGCAAAGCCCTTGGGGGCATTGGATTTCCTAATGTTTTGGGTAGCTGCAAAATTTAATTTTAGGTAGAAAAGGGTTAACTGAGGGTCAGTATAATTCCCAAATCATCAGCTGCAAATCATCTAACCATATGTGAAAAATTCAATGACATTAAAGGTAATTCTCTGGGAAAGTAAAAATAATATGCAGTTCTTTGACCAGAAATAAAGATTTAGAAGATTTCTTTATGCATATAGAATTCTCTAGTAGGTGAACTTGGATTCATGGTAGTCATCATAAGTTAATGTGGAGTATGTAGAGTTTATTTATTAATTTAGCCTTTTTATTTTTTATTTTTTATTTTTTTCAAGATTTTTTATTTATTTATTTGACAGAGAGAGACACAGCGAGAGAGGGAACACAAGCAGGGGGAATGGGAGAGGGAGAAGCAGGCTTCCCGCAGAGCAGGGAGCCCGATGCGGGGCTTGATCCCAGGACCCCGGGATCATGACCTGAGCGGAAGGCAGACGCTTAACGACTGAGCCACCCAGGCGCCCCTAGCCTTTTTTAATAAAGAAAAGTTTACATAGTTTAGATGAGAACACAGATACACTAAGACCAGTACAGTTGAACTCAAGGCAAAAACTAGAAAGCAAATGGAAAAAGGAGAGGATGATAGAACAGCTGGGCCTCCTGACTGAGGAAAGCCTGATTGAGTGAAAGTACTTGAACTTCCTTGTGGCCTGAGGAAAGATGGTGCCAAAATGAGATGGGTGGCTCTCATTGTCCTGTCTAGTACTATGATGCCTATTTCATTCATTCATTTATTCACTCCTTTATTCATTAATTCACTCATTTCAGTGAAATGAAATGATTTGTCTTGTATTACCACAGCACTATGCCAAGCACAACAGTGAACATGATCCAGAAGGTTTTACCTTCTTGGAGCTTATAGTTTGCTTCAGAAGTCATGTAGACAAATTTTTACAATATGCTAAGATCTACAAGATGTGCAGTGAGGTATAAGAACATCCAGTAGTGCACCTTACCTGGAGTGGAGGTAGGGAGGTTTCTATTACTCCCTAAAACATTTTAAACAACCCCACCTTTCCAGGAACATAAATAGCTTGTTATAGGATTTCAAGACTACTTTTCAAAAGGAGAGTCTGATTTATTCACATATAACTTTAAAGTTAATTAATTAAACCAAAATTGGCAGGTACTTTTTTATGTGCCAAGCACTCTACTAGTCCTTACTTGGTCATTATGGCTTGAAATAAGATCTATATTATTGGATGTTTTCCTTAGTACGTGATTTCTATCCTGGTTCTGGGTCCCTTTGCTGTCTCTTCAGATACCTTTAATATGAGAACATAGTCATAAAAACTGCACATGTGTTGGTTTGCCCCAGTCATGAATGATAAAATAGGATGAGATAATTAATCAGAATATGAATATTGCCAGGCTCTTTGGAGAACTAAAGTTTTTCCATGAAATTTGACATGTAGAGTGGGACAGAGGTAAGCTGAAGATCTTTGTTTTGAAAAATATTATTATACGATACATATGAAATATTTCTGCTGAATCATCAAAAGAGTTCTGGATTTTATAATGTAGAGAATTCCTCTAAGGTAGAGGTGGGGGTTAGTGTAGGAAAGAATATGGAATAAAGTCAAGTTCTGGTTCTGCCACTTTGTAGCTATGTGAACTGGGATAGATTGCATAATCTGTTTGTGCCTTCATTTCTAAATCAATAGCATGGGTTTAATAATATTTATCTTACAGAGTTGTTATGAAGTCTATATGAAGGCACCTAGAGTACTTAGTGCAGAACCTGGCAGATAGCAAAGGCTCAATAAGTGTTAGCTATTTTTTTTAAAGATGTATTTATTTATTTTAGAGAGGGATAGAGAGCATGAGCGAGCAAGAGCGGGGTTGGGAGGTTGGGGGTGGGGAGAGATAGAGGGAGAGGAAGAGGAAGAGAATCTCCAGCATATTCCTCGCCAAGGAGCCTGCTGCTGGGGCTCGATCTCATGACCCCAAGATCATGACCCGAGCCAAAATCAAGAGTTGGATGCTTAACTGACTGGCCCATGCAGATGCCCCAAGTGTTAGCTATTTTTAATATTGGGGAGAAAATATAGGATTTTGAGAGTTAAGGGAAAATATTTTAATTTGCTATAATATTTATTTGGAATCTACAAAAAGACTTGTCTTTTAAGAAGAAGTAGGACCACCAAGGACAAATGGCCACAGCTTTTAAATTTTATTTATTTATTTTTTTGCCACAGCTTTTTGAATATAAAGATTCCATGAGGTTAATATGAATGGAGGAAAAAGATTATATAGCTAACATATACCTTGTTCTTACAATTCTCATTATGTTAGAGAAGCCCAGGATTCTGCAGAGAAGTGATTTTTGAAAGAGGCAAGACTTACTGAGATGTAGGAAAGCAGAATGTGTGATGGTTAAGAGCACAGACTCTGGAATCAGTTTGAACCCCATCTACATTTGGTAGCTGTGTGACCTTGGGCAAGTTACTTAACCTCTCTGTATTACACTGTCCTCATCAGTAAAAAAGAGGATAATGAGAGTACCTACCTCATTGGGTTGTTGTGAGATTAAATGAAATAATTGAAGTAAAGTGTCCAGAACAGTGATGTCCCAGGGCTTTCAGTAAAATTAGCCATTATTTATCTTACTCGGATGTAAGCTTCTTGACAGCAAGTATTTTTTGCCTGTTTTGTTTTTTCCACTCATGCATCTCTAGTACTTGAAAAGTGCTTGACATGGCAGTTGCTCAAAACTATTTGTTGAATGAAAAAGTATATGCAAAGTCTGTTAGTCAAATAAAAGGATGAAAAAGCTGGGCTACAATGTTGAGAATTATTGAAGCTGGGTGATGGGAACATGGGAGTCTATTAGATGACTCTCTCTACTGTTGTATATGGTTGAAAAGTTTTATAATGAAAGTTAATAAAAAGAAGTCTAGGCTGATGTAATCATTGGAGATAACCAGACATTAAAAAAACCCCTAAACTTTGTATCCCCTTTGTTACAGCTTGAAAAAGTAAGAAGACATTTTAGATTACTAAACACTACTATTCTGCTACAGACTGGTGAAACTATGGTCCCCAAAAGACACTTGTTTTTCTTTAAAGGACTCTGATGTCAAGCAAGAATTTCAGTAAAAACCAACAAAGCTGATCTGCCAAACTGCACTATTTTTCCTTATAATCATCCTCTTATAAACCCAAAGTGCTGTAAGGACCCTTGGGGACAAGTTTGTCCACTTCCCTTAGAGGTTACTCAGGTAGCTGTCAGCACTGTCCACTCCCTGTCACCTTCCTCCCTCCAGGCCAGAGGTCACAATCCCCATATCTAACTTCTCAGCAAACTCCTGAATCCCGATACAGTAGTACCTCCATACCCTGCCTTCCTGTCTTCCCCTTGAACCTCTGCCTGGTTCACTTTCTGACCCTCTTGGTTCTCTTCGATTCCCCATTTTCATCTTGCCCTAATCAGGTGCAATAACCAGCCACAGAATGCACACCTTAGTCCTGACCTGGCTCTTTATGGGACCCAGCCTTTGGGAGCTTCCCTGGGTTCCTCCTCCCATGACAGTTCTGGCTTTGAGGGCTTCCCTCTGTAGAAATCCTGTTCAGGTCCCCAGGGTTGCCGGTCACTTCTTTCCTCCTGGCCCCTTGCCCCTTGGGAAACACCATCTGATAAGTGTCTTAAAGAAACCACTTTAATAGCACTAAGCTATGCTCTGTGGAACGAGAACTCCATAGTCATGGTGCTTGTGCTTTTGAAGTGGGAATGGGAGTTCTGTTCTGTAGTGTTACTGTGAACCCTGGATTAGTGGCTACTGAACCATTGCTCTTAGGGGAAGTATAGGGTTTGGTTCCCGCCAGCCTCTGGTCACAACATTTTTGTCACTGATCAATACATCACCTTATTTTCTGTATGTTTCTATTTAGATGCCTTATTTAATATGCAGTTGATTCATTAACATTGAACTCACAGCCAATAGCACCGAAACTCATGCCTGAGTGAAGCTTATCTAATACAGTTATGTCTCTGTAAGGCACATCACAGCCTCCTTGCATTTAGGGACACTAGACAGCACTTCAACACTATGCTTGGGCCCATTTTAAACAGGGAAAT